AGACTTTCTAAGCAGATTGTAATCGTGTGTTGTAATTTCACATACAGGCCATGTACACATGTAATTTTTTACCGTCTCCAGATTCAGCCTCTTTTGCCATTCTTAGTGCATAATAAGACAAATAGACATAGCTTTGTAGAAGAGGGTATATTCCTGGAGCAGGACCCTCACTTCATGGGTGGCATCCTTGTCCATCCTTGACCTGAGCTCTTTGATTCCCATCTCCCAGCATCACCCATGACTTTCTGAGTGTTGAGCTCTGAACAGAACCAGAGCCCTAAACACAGCACATCTCTTTTCTGCTTTCCTTAAGTCATTGTCCCCACTAACACCCAGATGTGTGCCTTTCACAGCAACTCCCCTCAAGAGTAAGAGAGGAAATCTGTAAGCCCCCACTTTTTGTCTTTTTCAGCAACCCCAGAAAGCTAACCTGGGAGCTAGCTGTGTGATGAGATGGTGATCACCCCGATAGACTAACGGGTATTAGTGTCAGCACTGGGACAGGATTCTTCAGAAGAGCAATGTAAACCTGGGTACACATGTGTGTAGAGTCAGCTTAAACATGTGTACCCAGGTTTACATTGCAGATCGGTTTTTGTAGCCCACACATATTTAAGTCCGGTGGTTTGTTCTCATTGGGAGTGTAGCTCCCAACCTTGCATGAGATCCTGAACTTGACTCATGTATTCTAGAATTCATGATCTTCACAGAGAGCAGTGAAAGTTAGAAACTCTGGACTCTCATCCCAGTTCTAGCGTAGGGGGTAAGAAAGCACTTGACATTTTCCTGTCAGTGATGTAGTTTGGTTGCTGCAAAGCCTAACCAGGGCTTCTCCTAGCTCATCCACAGCAATGTTCCTTGAACAGAACCTATAAGCCCACACTGAGGGAGCAAGAACAGGCCCTGCATATTACCCATGCCTCTTTTCTGTGGGAATCCTGGGCAGAGGGTTCCTAGGTAGGCGTCCATGAATCCACTCACATCCTTATCTTACCTCTAAGACAACTGAAGCTGCAAGTTGGAGCCCCTCATCTGTGTCACTCATCTGTGGAGGAAAAGGGCCAGAACCAAAACCGAGGCCTCTCACCAGAAGCAAACACCTTTCTTCCTTCACACTGCTGCTATTCTAAAATATCAAATAATAATCTGACTAAAGTTGGAAGCAATGGGTTGGATTCCCAGCAGAGTCTGCAAGGTGTATTGATTATAAGTGCTGGAGACCTCCCAGTGGAGTATTAATAACTCACGAAATTTGTATGTAAAATAGTAGGAGTAGTTTGTGAAGGATGCTCAAATACAGCCAGGCATAGCAGCTGTAGTCCCAGCAGCTGGCAAGTAGAGGCAGGAGGATGGCAAGTTCCGGGCCAAGCTAGGCTACATAGTAAGACCTCACTGGCAGAGGGGCAGTATACAAATACAAGATGGGTTTCTGCTTAGTAATTTGAAAGTTCTCTGAGTTAAGTGACCAAAGAGAAAACTGCTCCTTTGGAAGTATTTGTATTATATTAGTGAGGTAGTTATTTAGAGCAGAATTAAAATTTTTGTGTTTGTTGAAGTACTTTTAGGAGAGCAAAGAGCAGTGCCTAGTATTAAAATGGGTATCGAATTTATGGCTCAGTGCCTCGTCAGCCACATGCATATGCCTGAGAAGGGTCTTGCAGTCAATTTGATGTCTACTGTTTTTTCCCCCTGAGGCTCTGAGGATAATAAGTGTCAGACAATATTGCTTCAGTTCGCTCTTGCTCATAGTTCTAATACATTCAGTATTGGGTCTGATCCTCAGGGTAAAGTGTTTATTGTGTAAACATGAGGATGTGAGTTCAGATCCCCAGTACCCACCTAAAAGCTGGACACAGCAGCATAGTTCTGTAATCCCAGTGTGTGATGGGGACACAGAGACAAACAAATTTCACTGGCCTACCAGTGCAGCCAAAGTAGCAAGTTTTAGGTCTCAAAAATTATTATTAAGAGCAATCAAGACGTTCGACAAAGATCTCTGCTCTCCGCACATAGGTTTGTGTACTCTTATGCATGCATGTACCATCACTCACTCATGTACACATCTACATGCATACATACACCACACACAAATAAACAAACCAGGGCTGTATTTTTGCTAAGACTACCAAACAAGTGATTTGGGGCATTCATGTGTTCTTGGCTGTTCAAAGCACTGTCTGAGCTGGGGTCATATTTGCTTTCTTTTTGTTATGGTGTTTAACATGCTCTGGCTTGGACCCAAGTTAGCTGTATTTGATGTCTCTTAGTGTTATCAAAACCCTGATAGATGTTTGTCTAAATGACAACACCCAGTTTAATGCCAGTTAACACCGCTGAGAGGGGCGTAGAGAGTGAGTGTGACTTGTGACAGTCTAGGGCCTGAATGGCAAGACTGAGAACCTTTTGTGAAGGGTCATTTCCTCCTTCAGTATCCAATTCTGGAAGTACTTTGGTTCTCTCTGTTGTCTGTAGCTCTGTGATACAAGAGCAGACCATAAATACTCACAGAGTGGGAGAATCCCCAAACTTGATGACTGCCCCCTGTGAGTGCAGTCCTGGACCTCCTCCTAAGAGCCCAGGTCTCTGTCATGACAGGGACCAGCCTCTTGACAGTTGGATGGTGTCACTCAGGATGTGGGTGATGGACGGCCACCTGGGATCTGTGTGCAGCAGTTCTTCTGTAGGTTTGATTGTGAGTTTGATTAACAAGGTTACTTTCCAGATAAGTCTTCTATGGAGAATCTAGCAAAGGGAACACACATTTCTGTGTTGTTCACCGTTGTTCCCAGCTCTGTATGGGGATGTGTTGGACACAGTGGGGCCTTTCAGGAAACAGCAGGAAGATACTAGGCAGAGTGTGACAGGTCTTTAGAAGGACGTGTCTGCTCTAACCCAGGCCCACAAGCAGACTGTACTGAAAGGGGGGAGCATGAATTGAACGTTGACAGTGGGCCACAGCAGTCTGAAGGCTCAGGTGGTTGTCAGCCATAAGTTTAGCTCAGCTCTTTGAGTAATTTGTCACGCCTGGCTCAGCCCCTGCTGGGCCAGCACGTGCCAGCTTAGTGTGAGAGGGCCTGTTCGCCAGACGGCCACTCAGGCCTAACGTCCTGCTGTTCCCCCGGACCTGCGGCTCGCTGGGGCCATACACGGAGGGCAGCTCTGTGGTGACAGCCAAGTGCTGTGCAGAATGGGCATGCTCATAATGAGACGTGAATGGCATTAGTGGGTCCCTCTAGAATTGGGCCTGAGCAGGCGCCTCTCGCTGAGGAAGTTTGGCAGCCTGTTCATTAAGGCAAGTCACCAGGAGTTCAGCCCACAGCCCAGGAGCCAGCTCTGGAGCATGCTGCCCAGGCCTGGGGCTGTTGTGACCATCCATAGAAAAAATCATAAATCTTCAGAGGGGCCACTTTTGAAAGCTTCCAATACATTTTCTTCAACAAAGAGTTGTGTAGAGCAAACTTAAAGGAAAATTCTAGCACGAAGCAGATCCTGATACTACTGTCTTCAGTGTGCACAGGTCATGTATCTGCAGCTTGGTTTAGTAACCCCCAGCTCTTGTGACTATTGAATGCTTGAACTATATATGGAGTGGAGCAGAGAAGTGTAGTTGTTCCTTTTGCATTTCAGTTCATGAACATTTCAATTTTGATAGTCACATGTGGCTACCAGGTGACTCAGCACTGCTCCAGAATGACTCTGGTCCCCTCACAGTATGACACCATTCCCTGAAGATACCAGAGGAGAGAGCCTATATCCAGAAACCAGTGTCAGGACCTTGCCAAAAGAAAATAAGAGTGTCTCTAGTTTTAAAACAAGATGTAGAGAAGCTACTTGGAAGGGTGTAATTGTTCTCAACTTATATTTTCCAAGTGGACATCATGAAAGGATTGTTTTAAGATATACAGAATCATGTTTCTTCTTTGCATCCCCAGGAAACTAACCAATGGGGATCTACATTCCCTGGGTTTTGTGTTCATGAAGAAATAGCACAATTTTCAAAATAATCAAAACACATCCTTTAACTTTTGCATCGATAATGAGAAAGGGCAAAATGAGACATCATGCCAGCTCCCCGAGTGTTAATTCCTAAAGTTCTATGTATAGCGCCTCCATTCATTGTCAGATCACTCTGACGTTTCCTGTTATTGGGAGTGCATGATTCTTCACCTTCAGAGGAAACAGAAGCTCACACAAAAGGGAAGATTTGCTTTCTGCCCCGTGAAAGGCTGCCACAGGCGGGGGTCCTATTAAGGCAGCTGGAAAGTTGCTTCGGCCTGTTCCGCTTGTAAGTTTTATTGGTGACTGGTTTTTGATTACACATTTGAATGTTGTGTGTTCCAGGCTGCGGCTTTAATTAGAAGGCGATGGTTTCTCTCTTTCTTTTTTTGCTATTGCACTGTACACCATTTGCTACATCCTCCATATCCATTCTTATTTTCTAATGCTCATCACTTACCCTGGTCCGAGGCTCTGATGCTCTTGCAGAATATAACTCCTGGCCTTCTCTTTCCAATAACTTGCCTTTTCTTACTTTTGTTAAAGGGTTCACCACCATAGAACCAGCTCTTACTTGAAGTATCAGTTCCCTGTGTTGTTAGACTAAGAGTTCTCATTGACCCAGATCGGGAGTGAAGATAAAGGCTGTCACATTATTCCATTGCTATGGTGTCACAATCACCCACCTCTCTTGTTCTTGTTTAAGTCAGCCTTAGATGTAATATAGTGCTTTGATAGAATCCTGTAACTTTTGGTGCACGTATTTCTTAATGATATTACTGTTGGATATAATTGAAGCCCAAAAGAAATCTAGGCCTTAAAACTAGTGTCTCACTATTATGTGTGACAAATATCTAACTTTCTGGCAAAAAGCTAAAGAGTTTCCAAGATGCGTTTTCACACAGGACGAGGAAAGCCTAGTAACTAACTGCATTTAGAAGGAATTGCTAGTCGCTCCACGTGCCAATTGCACGTGCGTTTGTCTCCTTAACCAATTACTGCAGCTACGAAGAGCGAGCTCTGTATCTGGAAGCAATAATTCAGAACCACCGGGAAGTCATGACATTTGAGGATTTCGCAGCTCAAGTCTTTTCTCCCTCTCCCAGCTACTCTCTCAGTGGAACGGGTGAGTGTCTACATTATTCTCCTCCCTCCTGCTTATGATGCGTTTGAGTAGCAGATGTACACCTGTTTTTCACAGATAAATGCTTGCAAATTTAAGAAGAACATTCACCCTCTGAATCAACTAATGAATTTCAAAAGGAATGATGACATTCATTTTCATTTGTTTTGTATCCGAGCTGTTCGCTGTGTTTCTTTCTTCAGCTATCCTGTTAACCCTCGAATCTAGCAAGGTTAATGAACTTTTTCTCAATAATGTGCTCCGGTTCATTCAGGAGTGTGGGTTTCTTGCTGAGCTGGGAATATGTTGTTTAAAAGCGATGCCCAAATCACTGCGTACTTATCAAAAAAAGAGTTCTCACAGTTGAAGCCGTTGCTACTAATGCTAAATGGGGATTATGCCGCTGAGATACGAGGGTCAGGGATTAATGCCGGAGACATGGAAGGACAGTGTCCCCAGGCCCATCATTACAGAGTGCCGCGTGCACGCTGCTCTCTGGAGTGGTTGGTGTCATGCGGACAAGCCACCGACCAGAGCAGCACCTGGTGTGGAGCCTTTAGAAAGTAGCTTATAATGGCTTTCATTTTGTAAGCCAGTGGAAGTGCAGAATTTTCCTTTTTTTTTTTTTTTTTACTATTTTATATAATATTATCAATTTGAAAAAATATGTGCTGCCACTTAAATTGTTGATATGATTATTATGGCTTTTTTGTCAAAGAATAAAATTATTACTTGTAAATTTCTGCATGTTGTTACAGATTAATTGCCTGTCAGAGAGTAAGTGGGATATTTAGTCTCCGCATGTTGAAATTCTCAATGAGGGGCTTCCTTCACCTTTCCTGATTCAGCATAGCTATAAGTATGCTTAATAGATTTCTAGCTCGTGCTAATTGCTTCTGAACACAGCTTTGCTTCTCCTGTGCTGACTTGTTAACAAATATCTTACACACAAAGTGAAAAAAAATCAAATTCAGTGAAATAAATCACTTACAAATAAAATCAGCCATGCGGCATTGTTTAACATCGCTGGCTTCAGTCCGTGCCTCTTGGAGCTTTGTTGGGAGATAAGAGAGAGAGGCAGGCACTTGCATGGGGAGCCAGGAGCAGCAGGCAGAAGGCTTGGGAGATAAGCAAGCTGGCCGAGGTGCGGAGCTCCATTTACATAATCACGACTCTGCTTCCTGGTGAGGCGAGAGAAACACAGGGATGGCCTCTATTGATCTTTGTTGAACTGGGATACTGAGCAACATGAGAAAAGCTTATAACCTAAAGCTTTGATTAATGTTTCTTACATTAAAAAAGTAGAACAGCTGTGAATTGAATTCTTTTATACACTCTGCCAGCGTTCTATCTAAGACAAAAAAAAAAAAATCTGTTTTAAGGGAAATGAAGATTTCATACCCAGTCTGGCTAGCACTTTAAAATTGTGTCTAATTTTTCAGTGAAAAAACACGAGGACTCCACAGCAACACAGAGAGCTGGTGCTTCAGAGCTTTATTCTGCCTCTTCTCATCCTTTGCAGGCACTGGGACTTGGTTTTTCAGTGCAGGCTTTTGTTTTTGTTTTTAAGAAAACATTTCATTTCTTTAAAAAAAAATATGAAATAATAAATATTTAAATTTCTTAACTTTTATTTTTAAGGCTGGTGATTATTGAGGTTACTGAAACAATGATAGGTGTTATTTTCTATGTATATTTTACCCTCTGTATTAGTAAAGTTCACAGTTATTCAAACCAGTTCAGATTCAGTTCCTAGGTAACAGCTTAAGTGAGACTGTAGGAGCATTTGGGTTTGTGTGACCACTTGGGGGAGGGTGGTTAATAGGGTTTTTGGAGAATGTCTTAAAAAAAATACTTAATAAAATTTCTGACAGCTTGTCAGGACAGGTGTTAGAACTTTTATGGAGCAAGAAACCTAATATAGACTCCAAAACAAATGTGGTTCGTCCTTCTTTCAGATCGACATCAGCCTCCCAGTTCATGGAGTTTACAGCTTCTCTCTGCCCTTCCCAGTGATTAGGAAAGAACTAAAAATAAAGTCTGTTTGAACTACAATGTGGGGGCCGTACAGTGGGGATGGGGTTCATCATCCGATACACAGGCACCTTCTCAGAGCTGTATTCTTCCTGGCTTATGCCCAGACTTTACTTCTACAGAATCCCTCCTCCTGCTTCTGCTTTCACAGAGGAGAACAATTTTCACTTATTCACAGTGCTTTTTATTTTCTTGGGACAAGCACAGTCAAACCCAGATGAGCCCAGCCCAGCCAACTTACACTCAGAGACGGAGGTGAAGCCTGCTCTTCCAAGCAACAAACCAACTGGAAAAATTGACCCTGAACTGCTTAAGCTCCCACAGTGCACACAGGCCCTAGTCAGACTCTCTGTGGCCATCAATGTCATCAAAGCAGAGCCTTGGGCTCCTTATATACATATGCACAGATTTTCCTAGGCTTTGTTTGTATCCCCCCAACAAGGGGCTTTTTCTTTCAGGAGGACACCTGAACTGTATAATATAGCACAGCCCCCTCTAGAGAGAAGGAAATGTGCCAGGTGAGCCTGGCCAGAGACACTACTAATGGGAAATGTCTGTGTCTCTCACACTCCCTAACCACGGAGCCCTGGGGGCCAGAGCACCCAAATACGTGCACTTCTGTCCATGATGCACCATGAGCTAATATATGAGTTCAACTTCTGTCAAGGGCCTTTAAAAGAGGGTTCATCTCCCAATCAGAAATGCTATTTTAAAGCAGCCCGCCCCTTGTATCTGTTGCATCTATTGCTTGAATTAATAGTACTCTGTATGAAAGGTATTTGGATGGCTTTTTCACCTAGCCCTGCCTGTGGTTTGCCTTGTGATCCCTTCCCTTATTGACAAGTAATAAATAATCTAAAAGATAGCTGATATTAACATCTATATGTTTTATGTATGCATATTTGTATTCACTTAACCCACACAGCTATGGGAACAGAGAGAGGACTAAGTTTATGTTTTCATGTTATCAAGGAAGGGGGCCAGCAGAGAGGCCTGTAAAGGGTTAACTAGAATGGGCACCCTCGAGTGCTGGGGAGGGACTGATGTAATCACTGCAGCTCACAGCCAAGTGCATCTGTTCACCATGAGGTCATTCTTCTGCATGCTAATGACTTGGAGAATCCAGTCTGATGTTTGACATTATCCAAAGGGATATAGTGTAAATCTTTACCTTTGGGAGCTGCTCTTACTGAACAAAAAGGGGGAAAGAAACTTGTTTGGAATTGCATGGGAGTTTCCTTGTTACTGTTTTCTCATTGTTTGTTTGTATTTTGGTTGTTGTTTGGGGTTTTTGTTGTTGTTGTTTCGGTCTTTGCTTGTTTTGTTTTGTTTTTCCTGGAGTTGCTCTAAAGATTATGTCTGGACCTTAAAATCTGCGTCTGTTGATAAATGAATCCCAAAATAACTATTGTGGTCACAGCTAGCAGTTTGTCAATTGACATACAGTAGGTATGTCTCCTGTAATATCTAACTTTTGGAATTGGTACCTTGGTCAGAAGTTGGTGAGAGTATGTTTTTATTCTGAGGAATGCCTAAACCAAGTTCAAGATTTGTTCTCAGTATCTCTGGATTGGCTGGTGTTTGCTTGAGATGCCAACACTGTTTATGGCTCCTGCCTACTTCAATATTGCTATGGAGGGCCAGCAGAGGGAGCACAGTCTTTGTTTATTTGTTAGCCTCAAAAACAGCCCTTCTTTTCTCCAAGACAGGGTCAGCAGTACTTTCTCCTTGATGACAGGTGGGTTTATAAAGGCTCCAGGATATAAAGCAAGTGGGAGAAAATGTGTCACCCCGATTTTGATCCACTATCTGCTGCTTGAATGTAGGTCATATTTGGGGCTTAAACCAGATTAGTCTGGGTCAGTCTTAAGATGCTGCCACCATCCAAAGCTGCAAACTTTCTTCTTTCTCATATGTATCTGGATGGCCTCTTGGAAAGGAATACTGTGTTCATCTGTCTCATATAATAGACTTTTGTCATCCTTTCCTGCTATTCAGTACAACTTTAGACATTGCACTGGAAGACTCTGACCTGGTGCTATCAGTTCCACTTAATGGCAGCCAATGAAATGAATTCACAGAACTGCAGACAGCACATCCTGTCACACCTCGGCCCCAAAGGGAACCAGGCGTGTGGATGCTGCTCTAGTTCTGTAGGTCCCTGGCCCATGCCCTAAGGGGTAAAGCTCCAGCAGCTTCCATGTGTGTGTGCTCACTATCATTCTGCATTCAGATCCTGGAAGGAATATTTTGTTGGGCAGTTAATAATCAAATTAGCCTCCAGAAACAGACAGGTAAACCCCAACCCTGATCCAACAAGCTTTTCGGATTGATCGAAAGGGTAATCCTCCTTTATATTCCATTCAGTCAGTATCCATTCTTTTTCTTCTTCTCCCTTCCTCCATCCCTGTTAAAATGGTCTTAGTAAGGCTTAGATTGATAGCACAGCTTATGCTTCTTATGTGTTTAGCTTTATCATAGCTTAGGGAAACCAGCAAAGAACATCATAGAATGTGGAGGTAAAGGGGACTTCAGGGAATATCAGGTCTAGCCTCGCCTTAATAGCTTTGACTACAATGAAGCATAAATCATGAATGAACAACCAAAGAGTGCAGACCAGTTGGACAACAGAGCCCTCACCTCCCATTCCACACATGGACATGTCATCCAAGTGCCTACCCTGTGCTGATGGTCCCATAAGTCAAGCAGTGGTGGTTTGTTGTTGATATTAAAGCCCCGAATTAAATGTGAGAATTACATGTAAAGAACTAGAAGTTTTCCTGAGACATAAATTCTCTTATGTCATTGCCAACTCAAGAGCTGACAACCAGCCCAACTTACACCCTCAGCACACTTGACTGCCCCTGGCCAAAATGTTGCCATGTGTCCTACAGATAGATAACTACCCTCACCCCAGCAATCCCATCTGGCACCAGCCTAGACCCCTTCCACACAGCCAGCTCAATGCT